GATACATGTTTTCTTCCCCCTCGCTCAAAATAATTCTTGACCCAGTCAAAGAAGCCCCTTACTTCTGAGTTGGTACTTAGTGTTTTGAATTGAAGTTGGTTGGCTTAGATCTAAAAAATATGTCAGGAATATATCTGACTATAAAACATGCACTGTATTATAGGGGCGCTCTGGTGGACTAGTGGTAAGTGGGCTGAGTTGTTCTGTCAAATCAAAGATATGTGGTTCGGATCCACCAGTTGCTCGGTAAGAGACAGATGGTTAATTTCTTCACATGAGATTTCAGAGACAGCCTCTGAAAACCTGCTAGAGGGTCAAACTATGAGTTGGTTCTGACACCATGGTACTAAATCAACTCATAAAAACTTTCAAAAAATTCTCAGAGAGATACAGTAATTAGCAGTTAGAGCTTACCTAATAATTAAAACAAGTTTCTATTTCTATTTTAGTATTTATTATTATTATTATTATTTTTGTGTGTGCATGTACCATCAAATCAGATCTGACTGGTATGGGAGGAGATTGCCCCTCCTTTTCCAGCAGAGCATCTGGTGGAGTTGAACCACATACCTCTGTGATTGCAGTGCAGCTTCTTGCCATTAAGCCACCAGAGCTTCCTTCTATTTCCAATTATTAACCTAGGTAAAATTTACTACAAAAATTAATACCTATCATGTATCAAACACTTTATTAATGTATTGGAAATAAGGCAAAGATTGATTTCCATCCTTCTGGGGTGAATAGTCTAATTAGCTTGGATGGGGATGGTGAGACAGATACCCTAACAAGAGAGTGGGAATGAAAGTCATGCTGAAAATAGAAAAGGGTGAAGTGATAAAGGAGGGTTTGTTAGGAATGTGGCATGGGGAACTTTAGATAGATAGTCTTCAAAGATCTCTCAGAAAAGGTGATGGCTAAGCTGTGTTGACACTCTTGCAAAGGGCTTGGCAAGCAATCCTCTGCACTGATGGCAAAGCAAACACAAAGACCCTGGAGCAGGAACCAATATGATGTGTTAGGGAAACAGAAGATGGTCAGTGACTATGTATTCAAGGAGAGTGGTGTGATGATCAATATCCTTAATGCGTTCACGTATTGCCTTTATATTTTATTTACAGTATTATTCTAAGAGTGACAGGATACTTCTGAAGGGTTTGAAGCAGAGAAGTTACATGATACAACTAATATTTTTAAAAAAGATTAACTGTTGTGTAGTTTGCCCAATGTAGCATAGCAAGAGGGCAGGCAGGATTAAAACTTGGATATAGCTGTGCCCATCCAGATAAGAGAACTTGGTAGGAATCCTGGTGGTATAGTCGTGGGCTCAACTGTTTATCTAAAGGGAAGTTAGTTAATAACTCACAGTCTTTGGAGAAGGAAGGACATTAAGCTTGGAAGGGAAGAGGAACAGCACAGGAGAGGATGATCTGGATTGATACTGTAACAGGGGTAAAATAGGAGAAGGTGTGTCTGAGATAGTGAGATTGGCTCTAGATAGGGCAGCATGCAAAGCTATTGTGCACAGAGCTGTTATGAACCTTCGTCGACTTGAAAGCACATAATAACAGCTGCTCCATGGGGGAAAAAAATAGCAAGCTGCTTCCATAAAGATAACAGCCTTGGAAACCCTATGGGGTAGTTTTACTCAATTCTATAGTGTTGCTAGAAACTCACTCATCTCCAACACGATGGACTGACGAGTGACAGCGGCAATGGGCTTGGGCATGGCAGACATTGTGAGGTGGGCACAGGAGAGGGCAAAGTTTTGATTCATTGTTCACAGGGTTCCAATAAATCAGGGCTGATCTGACAACACTTAACAGGAACAACAGCATAGAGTTGCTGAATCAATGGTGGTGGGTTTTGTTTTGGTTTAGCTGTGGAGGTGGAAGAAATAACTGTCAAGATCCTGTTGTTCTGGGTTAAACATTTATGACACAGTTCTGAGAGTGCCATAAAAATTTAATAGAGTTTAGCCTATTTTAGGAGAAGAAGTTGACCCAAATAAACCTAGAAATGGCTGAGTTTCTTAAGAATTCTTCGAAGAGGAAGGGCATCAACAAAATTACCAAGAAGCAAAGCCCTTGTCTACAATGCTGAGTTGAAATTGAAACAACAACAACAACAATCCTGGAGGCACTTGTGGCTCAGTTGTGGAATTCTCCCTTCTATGCAAGGGCTTATAGTTCAATTCCTCATCGATGCACTTCATATCCAGCCATCATCCCCTTTCAGCAGATGCTCATGTGTTGTTGCAAAGCTGAACAGGCTTCAGATTAAGATGAACTAGGAAGAAAGGGCTGGCATTCTGCTCCCCAAAATCAGTGCACATAAACTGAGATCTGCACCTGATCTTCGGGGAAGGGTGCAGAGCTGGACAGGACTGTGTTCTGAGGTGCATAGAGTGCGGTTGTCTGGCGCTCACATCAACAACAACCCTGGAGCTGCAGAATCTGAAGCCTTGGAACTGTGGCTGGGAATGTGCATTTCTAAATATTCAAAAGTGATGAATTAGCTGCAGTCAAGTTGGTTCTGAAACACAGCAACCCTCCATCAAATTTCCAAGGCTGTGAACCACAATGGGAGGAGACTTCTCTCCACTTTCTCCCACTGTTGGATCTGAAGCAGCAGAGACATGTGGCCCTTGAGTTAAGGGGGCAACTCTCTATCAGGGTTCCTGCTGAGTGATGCTTACTGTAATAAGTGTTGCGTTGTTATGTACTAATAAGTCACAACCAACTCAGGGCTGAACCTCCAGTAAGTTTTCAGAGGCAATAAATCACATCGGGGGAGAGTAGCCATCTTTCTTCTACGGAGCAGTTGGTGGATTTCGAACTACACGCCTTCGGGGTGGCAGTGCAACTCCTTACCACTAGGTCCCTTACAATATGTGAATGACTACAAATATGCACTTGGTGAATATTTGCTGAGTTGATGAATAAATCAGAAGATTATGTTGATAATCAAAAGCTAGGGAGACTCACTTTATATTCTTTTGCTGAGAAAATACCCAGTACTGCGCTGTGATGAGCTTTGACTCACCTTGAGTTCGCTTGGTGCTAATTCACGGTCATCCACCACGTGGCGTGTGCTCAGTGTGTAACCTCGTGTATGCATGGAGACACATGACATTACAATGCTAGCTGACTGGCTCACTGCATCGAGATGGAACCCGCTCAGAATTTGAAGCACCAGATAGGTATGTTGGGTTAGCAGCACAACTTGCCACAGACTGTGCTTCCAGAGCAGCGTAGGGGTTGTCATCACTCACTCACTTTTTCATAGCTACTGAGTTGGATCTAACTCATAGGTGACCCTCCAGTGGGTTCTCAGAAGCTATAAATCACATGAGAGTTGACTGCCTATCTTTCTCTTGTGAAGCTGGTAGATTCGAACTGCCAGAGAGACTTAGCAGCACAATTCTCTACAGATCATGCCACCAGTGTTCTCAAGGTTATAACAGAATTCCGAAAGCCTCATCAGGGAATGAGACAGAAAATTCATCAGCTTCCCATATGAAACACATGTATCTCCTGTGTCCTCTATACCAAGTGCATTCATTGCTATGTTTACGATGGTCCAATGCACGTACAAACCTATAATGCATATGTCTAGATCATCATACACATGCCTAAATTATTGGCTTGTGTATGTACTGTGCTACACTTTCTATTTAAAGAGTTTATTGTACATCAGTGTATGCTTCTACTGAGTATCCAAATTACATGGATAGTTGTTGCTCTTGTTACATGCCATCAAGTTGACTATGTAGATCTTTTGAATCATTGTCTAATTTTCTCTAAATAAGTATTACTGTGTAGTGCTCCTAAACACATCAAACCAGTGCTAGCCATGTCAACAGGGGGAGGTAAGAAGTATAAATTTGGAAGTGAACCAAAGGCTATTAAAAATCATAAAGATGAAAAATCAGTAAGTGCTCACATGTCATACTCAACAACCATGATAATCCTAAAATATTTAAACAATGGAAAGGTGAAAAATCAATAAATGCTCATATGTAATCCATGTTACATTCAACCACCATGATAATCCTAAAAAAATAAAAAGAAAAAAGTTCTCCTAGCTGTTAAAGGATCAGTTTCACTGAAAGGTACAATGATAAAGAAAATAATGAAGGGACCCATATCAGATACAGAGGAATTGATAATGGTATGGACTGAGATTCAACCACAACTATGAAACCCTCTTAGCACATTCACACCTACTGTTAAGGCACAAAGTTTTATTGAGATGTTTAAAGAAAAAATAGGACTGCACAACCATATGGCATTTGCAAAATGTCCCAGTCACATAGTGTCCTAGATCAGGGAATGCATCAAGGATGCTAAGCAACATATGATTATACGTGGTTATGATTAACTTCAACTCCTCCAGAAGCTTCCTGCTTGAAATAATTACCCTTAGTGACCAAGTGCTAAACTCAGGTGCCTCCCTAGCTGAGGAAACACAAGCCTCTCAGTTGCTACACGGTATTTTTTTTAAAGACAGAACCATAATTACAAAACCAAAAATGTGACTTTGATGTCATAACACTTAGCCTATAGCAAGCTGCACTGCTAACTCAAAGGCCACACATCTCTGGTGGTTCAAATCCATCAAAACTCTGCATGAGAGAGATAGGCAGAAACTTGATGGAGGGCTGACCATGCGTCTGTTCTGACTTGATGGAAGTGGAATTGAGTTTTGTGAGCATTTTCAACAAATGGGGCTCAGGCTTTACTCTCAAGACTGACTTAGCCATTAGACATAAAAAGCACAATGTCTAGGGCCCACACTACTTTTAGAGCCATGTGATAATGTTTTTATTTTTTAAAAAATAAGAAGTGTGGATATATTCTAGCCTGAATTATGTTCCACCCTTTACCAATGTAATTGTTAAATGTAATTTTTAATTTTTTTTGAACAATCAACAAGTAGTCTCAGAAATCATTCTGCTGCCCTGTCTCCCCAAAAGTCTTAGTCTACAGGAGTCATCGTACCTGGCAGGCATTGTACAGGAGCTGGTGTTCAAACTTCTTGATCCCCAGGATGTTCTGGAACATCTCGTAGAGTTGCTCCTTGCTGAGAATCAGCTCAGAGGCTGCGCTGGCCGTCATGCGGGCCTGCTGCTTCCTGGGGTCCTCTTCCCCGCGGTAGATAGCATCGAACTTGGCCATCCAGGAGCTCAGCACAGTCTCCTTGCTGAGGCCGTCGATCTCAGGCAGGCTGCGCACCCTCTTCTCAATGTGCTTCTTAAAGACCTCCCTTGAGTCGTTGGCAGAGCAGCCCCCACTCTGGACCATGCGGGCGACACGGTCACTCTTCAGAAACACCTGTGCAAAGGCCAAGAGAAACAGTTAGGCATCTCCCAAGGAGGCACAGTCCGCTGGGGCTGGGCACTGTCCCAGCTCCTTCATGTGCCCCCAAGAGGCATAAGTATAGGTCAAAATCCTGCTCCCTGAGCTAGTGAACTCAGAGAAATCACCTGACATGTTGTTCCCGTGTCTAAATATGCAAAATGAGAACTACGGTACATATTGGTTGTTGCAAATATTAAATGAGATAATAGGCTCACTAAAGGCAGCACGCAGGAGTGGGAACGTACAGAGATGAGCTTGTGCTGTCCGAGCCTCCCATGCCACAGGTGGCTATCTGGGTAAATGAACCTCTCTGTGCTTCAATTTCCTTAACCATAAAATGGTTAATCAACCAATGGATAATCAACTCCTGATCATGTAAGTATTTAAAATGGGCCTTTCATGAGTTTAAATATAAGAAATACTTAAAACTGTCCTTGGTCTACATTGAGTTCTTGGTCTCCTCTGAGCTGTTGTTTCTGTCACATGTAAAGTAGCAGGCATAAAGTGCAAGACGGCATTTGATGTTAACCGTTATTTGTATCTCTCTTTATCCACATTATGACACTTAACATAAATTACATTATGACACTTAACACAAATTAAATAAGCATCAAGTGACTATTTACGTAATGTCTGTCTCTCTTCATGAAATGTGAACTCAATGTGGGTGCGAACCTTGTCCTTTGTTCAGTGGTTTCATCAGTACCTAGGACAGCGCCCAGCACTACAACAATGAGTCAGCAAAGGAGGGGAGTGTGAGGTTCAGTTCATAATGGAAAAAAAAAACATTAACTATCTCTCTATTGACTAAGGGTGACAGAAGAAGGGCTGATGCCTTTGAGTTGGAGTCCTGGGAAGAGTTTTGAACATACCTTGGACTGTCAGGAGATCAAACAGGTCTGTCTTGGAGAGAGTGAAACCAAGTTTTTCCTTGGAGTCAAGGATTTTGAAGCTCTGCCTCACATACTTTGAGCATGTGGCCAGAAGAGACCAGTCCTTGGAGAAGGACATCATACTTGGAAGGGTAGAATGGCGGCACAAAAAAGGGAGACACGGGATGAGATGAATTGATAAGGTAACTGAGACAATGGGGTTAAAAGGTGTGTTGGAGTCAGTGAGTCTGGCTCAGGACAGGACAGGTTTCAGAGCTTTTGTACATATGGGTCACTATAAGTCATGGGAAACTCGATAGTACATAACAACAACAACATATCTCTCTCTCTCTCTCCCCACCCCCACCCCCACACCCCCAGGTCCAGAGTAAAGGAACTTGCTCTAAGTAATTCAAATCGGTTGACTAGAAATGAATACCATTTGTCCTGGACCCTGGTTCCTTCCTTCCTATGCCTTTCCTGCTGAGTGGAAAAACCCTTGTTTTATTGTTGCTGCCTAAGTCCTAGGGCCAAATCAGCCATATAAAAACCCTCTTTAAGAACACTTGTCTTGCACTACAGTGCTCACTGCTCAGAAGCATACACAACTACATGGTTCTGAGCTGTAATACAAGGTGCTGCTTCATATTCAGAGAGATGAGGCAGCTGACACTGTTGAGCTGTGTCCTGGTCACACTTCAGAAAGTGCATAAATAGCCTTCAAGAAGCAGAGTAAACACGCGCTTTCCTGTCGGGTTTCAGAAAATGCCCTTGCTGGCCTCGAGACAGCATCACTTGAGGGTCATCTTGTTACCTCACAGCTTATCACAAAGCCATTTCCTGGGAGAAGAGATACCAGAAAGGTGAATTCCATTTATTTCCAACTTAATGAACTAATTTAGAAAGAAGAAGGGCTCAGGGCTTGCTTCACAGGTGAGAGGCCACAGCCAGCTCCCCTGGGCCTGAGAATTGGTACTTGGTGGAGACCTTACAGTTCAATTTAAAATCAATTATAAAGAAAGTCTTTTCAAGTGAATCCTCAGCCCTTAGGAGCCTTAATGAGCTAAAGAATGGACCTGAAAGTTTTTAATACTTAAAGTACACGGTTTCTCCAATGTACTTTTGGTCTCTATTATAGATCCTATTATGAAAAATACAAATATTCAAGTTTTGAGGTGAACAGAAGTTTCTGGAGCGTTATAACACCATGACAAGAGCAACAAACCACGGCATCAGGTCAGCAATGTCTCTAACTGGCTGTGTGACCTTAGGTAAGTTAACGCACCTACTACTCTTATTCTTCAGTTCTTATTTATATGCTAAGTGGATGGACTATACAATTTTAGGGTTATCATTCTGGTTTTGATATTTATACTCATTTTAGGAACCTAATTACTCTTTTTTTTTAATTAACTAGTAGGTAGGGAGCTCTGGAGCTTAGTGGTAAGGAGTTGTGTTGTCAATCCAAAGGTGGTTGTTGTTGTTGTTATGTGCCGTCGAGTCATTTGCGACTCATAGCGACCCTATGTACAACAGCCCTAAACCCTGCTCTATCCTGTGCCAATCTCATTGCCTCTGACACACTCATCCCGATTACCCCAGTCACTGAATCAATCCACCTCATAGAGGGTCTTCCCTTCCTGCGCTGTCCCTCCACTCTGCCCAGCATGATGTCCCTCTCTAAAGACCTGTCTCTCCTTACAACATGTCCAAAGTATGTCAGGCGAAGCCCAAGAATCCTTGCCCCCAATGAGCAGCCTGGTTTAACCCTCTCTAGGATGAATCTATTTGTTTTCTTGGCAGTCCATGGTACATTCAATACTCTTCTCCAGCACCACAGCTCAAAGGCGTCAATTCTCCTTCTATCCTCCCTAGTCATTATCCAACTCTCTGATGCATAACAAGTGATTGCAAAAACCATGGCCTGTATCAGGCGCACCTTAGTCTCCAGAGAGACACCGTTGCTCTTGAGTACTTTAGAGAGGTCCCTAACCACAGACTTTCCCATCGCAATACGTTTTTTGATTTCCTAGCTACTGGTGCCAAGAGTGTTGACCGTGGAGCCGAGCAAACTGAAGCTGTGAACAATCTCAATCTCTTCATCATCCATCCTGATGCTACCGATTGGTCCAGTGGTGAGAATTTTTGTCTTCTTGACATTAAGCCCCAGTCACAATTCAAATCCACCAGCTATTCTAAGGGAGTAATATGGGTAACCTCCTCCCCTGTGATTAACAGCTTCTGCTTGAGGGTCAGTTATAAGTCAGTTTCAATTTCACAGTAAGTAACAACAACTAGTAGGCACCAGGTGCCAACCTTAAAGAGTGCAGAAAGACAGACTAAACCCAGATGGCTGCAGATGTCATCCTAATACTCTAACACAATTCAATCTGGGACATGTGCTAGCCATGGAAAATCCAGGGGACTGTGAGACTGTATAGCCAGGAATCTAGTCTAATCTGTGCTTAGGAAAGACTTCCTGGAGGAAAATACCTTTGAGAGAATATGGGAATGATGAACAGGTGAAGAGATTGAGAAAGAGTAATGCATGTTAAGTGCCTGAATATCTAAGAAAATGAAGATGATTCAGTATGGCAAGGAACTGGGAAAAAATTCATATTTACTCCAATTCCAAAAAATGTTGATCCCACAGAATGTGAAAAGTATTGAATAATATCCATTAATATCACATGCAAGCAAGATCCTGCTGAAAATTATCCAAAAACAACAGGAATAATACATAGGCAGAGAACTACCAGAAGTGCACACTGGCTCTAGAAGATAGCATGGGACTAGGGGTATCATTGATGATGCAAGACGAGCTGTAGCCCAACGGTCAAGGGTATAGGAGCCACATTAAGGACACTGATTTTCACTTCAAGGTCACTTGGAATTCCATCGTTGAAGGGTCTATACTGAATAATCACACAAATCTGCATTTTTAGCTCCAGTGTGGAGAAAGCAGGTCAAGAAAATAGTTTAGTCTTGTGGAATAGGTGATTGTTGGGATAGGGGTAAATATTGAGGTATAGATGGAACATTTTTGCTCAACACATAAATGAACAGCAAGAACAAACCCAGCTCCTCTAGCTGAGAATCTATTGAATGAGATTATGTTTGGATGGGAACAGAAAGGAAAGAGGAAACCAGCAGGCATAACTGTCTCTGAACAGAATTACTTTTGGCTACACTGTCCGTGAAGTCTGATAATAAGGGAGTCAGGAAAGAGAATTTGGCTCACTGTATTCCTGGCTGGTGTCCCTAACCTTCTGAATGGCTTTTGTTGTTGTTGTTATTTTTATTGTTGTTGTTGTATATCACTGAGTCAAAAACAACCCACAGCTGACCCTCTAGTGGGTTTTCAGAGGCAGTTAATCACACAAGAGGAGACTGTCCATCCTTCTCCTGCAGAGCAGCTAGTGGACTGGAACTGCATGCCTTTGGGATTTCAGCACAGCTTCTTGACACTAGGCCATCAGAGCTAGACTTCAGCAAATCATCTGCCTTGCACAGACACTTGCTTTGAACAGAGCAGTCACTCAGGACATATTTGTTGAATCACTAGATGGACAACCTTAGACAAGTCACTTAACTGCTTTCAACTTCATTCCCCTTGCTGTCATCTGGGCTTAATCCAGTCAACCTTCTTTGACAAGGACTAAACTGAACGGACTCTGAAACATTAAGAATACATCTGTCCAGAGGTAATATATGCTTGCCAAACCCCAGTCAGAGCAGAGATGAACAGAATGTCAAGTTAGTGGAGGACCAAGGCTGGAGACTGAGGAGACAGGAAAGATGAAGTGCGGGAATGAGGCAAAGTACTCATGAAGATTGGGAGTGGAGAAAATAGAAAGAGGAAACTAATTTCCCAGGCTCATCATCTGTCTAGGCTTCTCACCCAGTCAGAAAGGAAGTGGGACCTGGGCCAGCCTCATCCTAAAATGAATATGGCTACTAAATACTAACACGTTTCTAAAACAGTCCTTAAGATTCATTTGTGCTGAGATACTTCCACCCCCCACCCTGCACCCCCACCCCGCATGGCTGGCTGGCTGTCACAAGAGTCATCAACCCCAGACACTGTTCTTTGCAGGCACA